TGGGTGGGTGGATGGATGGATGGATGGGTGGGTGGGTGGATGGATGGGTGGGTGGATGGGTGGGTGGGTGGGTGGATGGGGAAACTGAGGCGAAGCCCATAGTGAGTGAGTCACAGAACCAGGCCCTCTGGAGGCCAGGAGTCTCATCCCAGGGTTGGCACAGAGCTTCTCCAGGGCCTGGTCAGAGCCCCATGAATAAAGCAGTCATCCATGCCCCAGCCACCACCTAGGCCCAGAGGAAGAGGACTGCAAACCAGCTCTCCTAGGTGGGCAGGCTCAGGGGCTCCTGAGGATAAATGTTCATTCGTTCTTATTCAAACATTGCATGAGTGCCAGCTAAGCACCCACCCTGATGGCACACTGCTCTGTGGCTTGCAGAAGTTCAGACGTACAGAACGGACACCAGGGGGGAAGGCCAGAGTTTCCAAAGGTCACTTTGCTGCATATGGTCACCTCACTGCCACTACTGTGAGTCACGCTCACTGTATTTTATAGGAGGGGAAACTGAGGCTCTGGGAGGAGCAGTGGCTTGCCAGCAGTTAAGGAAGAGAAGCCAAGCCCTCCAGAGCACGGTGGCCCTGACTCCAGTTTATCAAGCCACACTCTTGTCATACTTAGGTCTCTAGGCATGCTGTGTCCCTTTGGACTCCTGCAGCTGAGCCAGAGTGAAGCCCCCAGGAGCCAGGCAGGCATGTGCTCTTTGCCCATCCGGAATGCAAGGGCCCTCATCATAGCCTCAGGCCAGCATGGCTTCTATGCCAATCACTGCAGCCCCATGACCCACCCAGGCTGTTCCTGAATTCTGGTCTGCCCTGCACCCCTGCCCGCCCACCACTCCTGCTCCACCCTTCTTTCTTCTCTACCCACCAGGATACATTCCTGGCCTCCCCTCCCTCCTGTTGCTGAGCCCACTTCTTCCTGTTCCATCTGCTCTTGCCAAAGCCAAGCCAAGGCCAAGCCAAGCCACCCCTGGCCTCTGGGCCCATGTGATCCCAAGAACTCTTGTCTCCTGCCTGGTTTTCCCGCTGCAGCCTCTCCATGTCCCTGTCCCTACACTGTCTCCTCTCTCCTCCATCACCCCTAGAGGGCTGACCCACAGATGTTTCCAGGCCTGAACCCTGCACCCTTGTTGTCCCTAAGACCCTGCACATAGGCTCCAGCTCACCACAGTAGAACCTGTACAGGCACAAACTATAAGGCCAGTGCGGCTTGACACTGGCCTGGGGCTGAGTAAGTGTTGGTGAACAGCTGCTGCTGCACTGGTCTCAGAAGGGCTGGCCCCTACCTATCCCGCACGGCCAGCCAGGCGGCTTTTCAAACACTGAAAACCAGCTACCATCTAAACATCTGCTGCGGCTCCTCAGCACCATGGGACAAAGTTCACAATCTCCAGCTGGCGGAGGAGGCAGTATGCATTTCTGCAGGGTGTGGGCACTTTGGCCTTAAATCCTCTCATCCTCAGTCCAAGAGTATCCAAGTGCTGTTCACCTTTGCACCCTGGTTCCTGGCACATGCTGGTTTTTGCTATACAGGAAGATCACGATTAGAGCTAGAAAGGATCTCAGGCACCCTGGGGCTCCAGGTAACTAGAGGGAGCCAGGGTGTCCACGTACCAGGCAAGGGTGGGGCCACCACCTTACCTGAGAGAGCTCCCCTTGTCAGGAGGTATGTGCATGCCAGAGCCCCAGCTGACCTTGAGGCCCGGAACTGTGTCCCACTGTGTGCAGGCCAGAGGCCAATCCTGCAGCCCAACCTGCTCAAAGTACAGCCTCTGCAAACAAAACCGCTCGACTCAGCATAACCCCTCAGAGCTGACAGCCACAGGGTCCACACTTGCTCCCGATGGCCCTCTCCTGTGTCCCACGGGGGCAACTTCAGCCTAGAAGTCTGAGACTCCGAGTAGCCTGGGAAAGTCTTCCAGTGGAAGCGTACAGTGCTCTGCGACTCCACTGCTACTCCAGTTGCTTGTCAACTCTCCACAGTGCACTGTACCCATAAGATGATCCTGGACTGTGAACCCTCCAAAAGAAACGCCGAGGTCCCAGAGCCAGCCAAGCCCTCAAGTCCTAATATTTTGACAGCTAGGTTAGAAATTAATATACAGTCAGAAGGATCTGGGCATCAAGGAAGTCAGCACAAAAAATTATGCGCAGCATTGTGGCTGGAGGCAAATCTGGTGAGCCAGGATGGAGAAGTAGTGAGGCCCGTGAGCCCCTAGAAAGGAGCAGCTTATATCCCTGCAGCTTGCAGTCTGACCCACCTTGCGCCTACGTTGTGATTTTGCTGTGTAAATTACCCGACAGAGGGCCCTTGGGGCCAATCTCTTGGGACCCTTCCTGGAAATCCAGGCGCAATGCTCCTCTGTATTTCCAACAGAACTCTTCACCCTTCCTTGGTTCACGAGTTCACTCCCCACTGTTGTGAGACCGCACACTCAGCACACCTTCCACCTAACAGGTGGGAGTCATATCTTCCCTATCACTAAGCTCATTTAGGTAGCAGCACTGACTGAGCGACCCTGAAATTTGGGGACGACAGTAATAAGATTTCAGATTTTTAAGTCCCAGGTGTTACACAGGCAGACCTCGCTTTTTTGGACAAACATATTTACCAGAAACCCCGAGGGGCCGGAAGTGGTGATCCCTATCACTATCAGATTTGGTAGTTTTTTACCCAAGTTCGTGCTCAAAATGAACTCCACCAAACTCAGCGAGGTGTCCGTGACTGCATTCTCTTTCCGGGGCTGCTGGGTCCCCCGACGCCCCTAGCCCCTGGCGGGCGTGGGGCTCTGTGCACTGCGGCGCGGGGTCGGCGGCGCCCGGAATTCGCGCTACTCACCCGGGTGCGCGCTGGGGACCGCCCGCCGCTGCCCAATAGGAACGGAGCGCCCGGCGCCCCAGCCCCCGGCGGGACTGCGCTTTAACCGGCCGCTGCCGCCGAGGACCGCGCGCTCTCGCGTCCAGAAGGGTCACGCGGGCCGCTGGGCCGGGTCGGCTCCGGGACCGGGTCCCCGCGCCAGGCTGGGCGGCCGGGCTCGTGCGGGGTAGGGCGCACGGCCCCCGGAACTCTGCGCGCCCGAGTGCGCGGGCTCCGGCTCCGCTTGCAGAGAGAGAGCGCTCGAACCGACCCAGGCCCACGAGTGGCCAGCGAGGCCCGCGCCGTTAACCGCCGAGGGAGGAGCCGTTGGTCCACCCTGATCCTGGGGCGGTGCTGCGGGAGGCGGAGCCCCGAGGGCAGGAATAAATGCGCGGCAGGAGGCTGCCTGAGACCCGTGTGGTGACCACACCATGTCTCTCGTGCTGCTGAGCCTGGCTGCACTGTGCAGAATCATCTTGATGCAAGAGCCGGTAAGTCCTGGCCTGCACCCTTGTCCCCAGGTGCATTCCTTGAACCCAACCCTGGTGCGTGGGATCTGTCAGCCCACGCCTCTGCGAAAGCACCCACTGACCGTTCTCTGGAGGAGGACCTGTCTGCACCTTGGGGGGCAGACCAATGGGCCTCAGATCTCTGGACTCTTGTTCCCATGCTGGCTGGCCGCTGGCCAATGATGGGTGTCAAGCTGCTTGGTTTGGGGGCGTGGGTGTCAGACAGATGTGGTCCTAAAGTACCCTGGGCTTTTGCTGATGTTGGGTGCTGGAGATGGACTCCAGGGTCTTGCTCATGATAGGTACTCAGCTATATCCCCTGCACCTGCTCTGAGCTCTTGATTCAACCATTTACGCTCACCTCGCCTCCTTGGTAAAAAGAAGGGTTATCTAACTCACCCAGGTCTAACAACCGCATGGCCTGTAAAGCAACTGCCCACCTGTTGGGGTACAAGGCTGTTGATCCATTACCACCAGCCTGTTTTTGCTTTTTGCTTCTTTCCTCCATGTTGGTTCGCGAAGGTAGATGTCCTCCCTTTCTCGGTGCTTTCAGTAAAGGAACCCTGTGAATCTCTAAGGAGGAAAAAACCCCAGAATAGCCCTGAAAACCAATCCCTGACGTAATACCATATAGTATAAAAAATATGGCAGTTACGTGATAATAGCTGTGGGAAATCCAACCCCCTCTATCCTGTCCCTATGCCTTCAGCTACTGTCCTCGTTGGTCGTGCGACAGTTGCTGCAAGGCTAACGGTTGGAACTCTATTGTTTAGAACTGCTGCTTCTTCCTCAAGCTTATCCTTTGTCAAGAAATCAGCTCCTAATAGGGTGGCTTGTTTAAAAATAACACTTGCCGATATATCTTCCAAGTTCATTTTCATGAAGACGGAGGAATACCTGACAACCATCCCTAAGCCCCAACTTCTCTCTACAAGGTGTTTGGAAACGTAAAGGCTTGGCAAGATCAGGTTCCAGAGCGGGTGGATTTTCACACTGGTCCTGCCACAGAACTTACTGCTGCCTCAAAGTTAAATATTGAGGTTCAGTGTCTGATTTCAAAAAGCCAAAGTACTAAATATTTTTTCTTATGAATAGAGCTGAGCAGTTAACTTCAAACAATTCAGTATGAGTTTTTCTTGGAGATTGATGATGCGTGTTTTCCTTGGACACTGACAATACGTATTTGCTTTTTGAAAAAGTTTAACAGGTGACAGGAAACCACAGGTGCGTATGGTTTTCCAAATAGCTCAGGTGAGTCTTGTGTTAGAAGAAAATGTGTGAAAGAATCTGGGGAATGTGCCAGGGAGTTATGTGCATTGTGTCCTTCTATTGATCTTCATAGCGCAGCCGATTTTTAACCTGGAGAAACTCAATAAATACTCCAGACTTTTTCATAACTGGCAGCTAAACATTCATGTAGGAAGGGGACTTTCTGATACTCGGATTCATTTCTGGCTCATAGCAGCGAGGGCTGATGCCCAGAGACCCACCTCTGGCCTTCAGGTGAAGGGACTGGCTGGCTGGAGATCAGGCATACTGGCGGCTGATCTCTGTGGTCCTTTGTAGCCTCCATTAGGGCAGAGTTGTTTTCCCTAAGCTGTGAAACAGAACCAATTCATTTTTTCTTTGAAAGTTTGTCATTTGTGTATGCACCTAAGGAAAAAATCAATTGAAGACTGGCTTCAAGATGACACTTGGTTTCTTTCTTCTCTGCAGACTATTCAGTGTGGCTCTGAAAATGGTAGGTGCCTCAGGGAACCAACAGCTGGTGCCCTACATAGGAAGTGCAGTTGGACTTTGCGAGGCCTGAACCTGTAATGGACCATCAGCGACCAGGCCCAAGGACAGACATTGCTTTAACAGATGTGGTTGAAGTTCTCAAGACAGAACTCTGGGGAAATAAGAAAGGGCTGCTGCGAGGCCAGTGGGGGAGACGTCTCACGAGGGCGGAAACTGCCTGCCACTGTGCAGAGGCAGAGGGAGAGCCAGGGAAAGGAAGCCACTTAACTTGGGTCCAGGAAGCAGAAGTTGTAAAGAACAGTAAATGGGTGAGGTGTTAGCATTCAAAGAACGGGCGGGCTTCTGCCTAGGAAATGAAAATAGGATGAAATAGAGGGGAAACAGTGGCAGCCCCAAAGGCTAAGAGGTGGGAACGTAGTGTGTTATGGGAGGCATGGGGCAGGAGGACTGACCCAAACATGTGAAGTATACTACACACACATACACACACACACACACACACACACACACACACACACACGATCCCGAATGCTCCCTGCTTTGTGACCAAGACTGAGAGCATTTTCTCTTAGTTCAGTGATATCTCAGCTATAAATCATCCAACACCGTGAAATATTTGGCCTGCCTTAGCAGGAAGATGTGGTCCATTGTGCACTGGGGGCAGATCAGTGTAGATCCCCTATGGGGGTGGCCCCGGACTAGTCTGGAAGGGTGTCAATGGGATGACTTGCCTTTCAAACCAGGGCCATCTCCAGAATGGACCGTCCGGCACCCTCTGACCCCAGGAGATCTGAGGCACCTCCGCGTGGAACTTGCTGAAACCAATGCTACAAGAGTGGACCATTTGGTTTTGATGAACATAAGCTGGGAGCTTAGGGCAGATGGTAAGTTTATGTTAAAGGTCACAATGTCCACTGAACCAGAAGTGCTGCATGACGCATTCACTGCACACCTAGGCATGCCCAACAGAAATATGTACATGCAAAGTGCCTGCAAGGTGCAGGAGCCAGGGGTTCAATCCTAGGGCCTGCCGTGCCAGCCCCGCCCCTGGGGCACACTGAGATGGCAGTTAAGACTGGGTGTGGTGCCGTGTGCCTATAATCCCAGCCCTTGGGAGGCTGTAAACAGGCAGCTCACTACAAGTCCCATCTAGTAGTGAGAGACCCTGAACACCATGTAGACCCTTCCCTAAAAATTAAAAAAAAAAAAAGTACATGTTTGTACCATACATGCCACATACTAGGATATTCCCAGCAGCACTGTAGCAGCCCAAAGCATCCAAATGCCTAATAGCAAAATGGAATCCAGTACAGCAAGAATGACCAATGTGCAACTGCACATAATAATAGATAGCAAACATACTAGGCCAGAGTCTAGAGTTCATCCATTGTGTCTAAATGCATGCCTATGTTAGTATGTGCCATATGATTGATTCCTGTACGAAATGGCAAAATAATCTGGTGGTTGGAAGTCAGGCTGGTGATTACTGTGGGGGTAGGAGTGACTGAAAGGAAGCATGTGGGGTATTTCAGGGGGTTTCTTATGCTGGTCATATGAGTACAAATTCATGAGTGGTACACGGCTAGCCTGTGTACTTTCCTAGATGTTACACACTTCATGGATGGAGATAAGGGAAGGCCAGAGTCAATTTTTCCCTCTTAGGAAAAACACCACTTTAGGTAAGTTGCTTTTCTGTTTCCCACATATTATCATGAAAGCCCTGTGGCATTTCCCCTAGATTATGCTGCAAGGCAACCGGTGAGTTGTTACGATGGCTAATACTGGAATCCTAATGCTCATGTTAGCGAGTCCATCTATAAATGTCAGTTCAATGTGACCTAGTCAAGAATCCATGAGTGCCAGGCATGGAGGTGAGTTGGCCAGTCCACCTCCAGGGTTTTCAGAGGTTTGAAGAGGCAGATGCAGGCAGCAGGAGAAGCCCTAGTGGGCACTGTGCTTGTGTGTGTGTGTGTGTGTGTGTGTGTGTGTGTGTGTAGGGGGGGTAGGACGGGGAAGACGAGAAGGGGCCCTGTTGAGATGCCTATGAGATGAGGCAATGTGCTATGAGATGATGCAATGAAGTGGGTCCCATCCCTGACAGAGGGAACTCTGTGGGCTGTGAGAAGCTGGTGTGTCCCTAAAGCAGGCCTGATGCTCTTAAGACCCAGAATACTGAAGATATGGCACGAATCACAGGTATTCATGTGTTCAAGCTGACTGTAAGATCCCCAGCAAGGAGATTTTAGGCTTTGGAATTTGAATTCGCATCTGCTGCGGTTGAACGTTTATGCTTGGGCAGAGCTCCCCGAACTCCCTAAGCTCACTCACTCCATCTGCACGTGGGGATGATGGTGCCTCCCTCTTTGCTGCTGTTTGACCTGGGATGAGGCATGCACAGTGCATCAAGGCAGGTGCACAGCGGGCACTGAGGGAACAACTGCCCTCTCACCCGTCCGCAGCCAGCATCCTCTCGTTGAAGGCCACCAAGATCTGTGTGACGGGCAAAAGCAGCTTCCAGTCATACAGCTGTGTGAGGTGCAATTACACAGAGGCTTTCCAGCGGCAGACCAGCCCCTCTGGTGGCAAGGTAAGCACTACTAGGCATGCCCGTGCCTGTCACTGAGGGCTGGGACTTCGGGGGAGCATAGGCTATAGGCTGTGCCAACAGGCTGGTGCGCAGCTGGGATGTAGAGCAGGACACTTAGGTTCAAATCCTGTTTCTGGTTTTGTCCTCCATGCTTTGGGCAAATCAGAATCTCTAGGCATCAGTGTCCCCGTCATGAATGTGAGGGAATGGAATCCATTCCTCAGGTAGACAATGGCTAGAGAAGCAAGGTTCAGTGGTGGGACAAGGCATGAAATCACCAAGGAAAAGGGCCACTCAGAGCGGGGCCGCTGCTGTACCGTGGAGCATGCAGGGAGCTCAGGTGCCTCACTTTGCTTTGCAGTGGACGTTCTCCTACGTAGGCTTCCCCGTGGCACCAAGCACACTCTATTTCATCGGGGCTCATAACATCCCCAATGCAAATATGAATGAGGACACCCCTTCGCTGTCTGTGAACCTCACCTCACCAGGTAAACCACCTCAACTCTTTGGTTACTCTCCATCTCGCTAGGACACCAGGTTTGGGGGCTGTGCTTTGGCTCGGAGCTTAGGGAATCCTAACAAAGGCTCTGGCTTTGCGAGGTGTTTCCTCATCTGCCATCTGGCTAGAGTAGTAACAATTCTTTACAGAGCAGAGAGGATTAACTCAAATAAAATGTGGGCAAAGCACATTCCTGTGTGTCAGGCACTGTGCTGAGCACTTGCCATGTGTTGTCTTTCACCAGCCTGAGGGTAGGATAGCTCCCTGTAACAGATGAAGAGACTGAGAACAGGTTAAGTCACTGCCCTGGGTTGTCCACACAGGAAAGTAAAAGCTGGTGCTACACTACTTCCACAGAAGTTGTCAGCTTCCTTGATGAGGGAAGGTGGGGGTGGGGGTGGCGGCGGCACTAGGGATTGAACACGTGGTCTAGGCAAGCATTCTACCACTGAGTTATACCCCACCCTAGCCCTGACTTCTGCTTCTAAATAGGCTTTTTGAGATTTTCGTTTTGTAATAAATTTAGGTTTATAGAAAGATTGCATAGACACCATAGTTTTCATCTCACCAACTTCTCTATTATCATCCAATATTAGTGTACATTTGTCAAAACTAAGAAATCAATATTGGTTTACTTCTACTAACTCCAACTTTTCTTTGGAGGCTACTTGACTTTTTGAACTAATACCTTTTTTTTTTCTCCAGTTACAGTTAGTCGCTTGCCTCTTCGGTCTCCTCTGGTAACACTTTCTTGGTCTTTGTTTTTTATGACCTTGATAGTCTTGAGCTCAAGCAGGCATCCTGTAGCATGATCCCAACGTGGGTTTGTCTAATGTTTATCTCATTATTAGACCAGGGATATGGGTTTGGGGGAGAACCCAGCAGGGATGTTGAGCCCTTATCGTTGTATCAGATGCGTGAGATCACCAGGTGGGATGAGCCTTGTCACACTGTTAGTGTGGTGCTTGCCTGGACTCTGGGTAGGTTAAACCTCCTGGCTATAAGGGAGAGAATCGAAGTTATCAAACTTCAATTTAAAAGGACAATGGCTTTTCAAGTGTTCTTTTGGTATTCATTGTTTTAATGAAGGCAGTAGTATTCAGCTTGGCTTACCATCTCATGGTGATTTTAACAGTGAACTTTGGCAATAAATGATATTCTCTTTAGATTTCTATCCCACATCTGGACTGTTTTGGCATTTGTTAGGAGGTGTGTGGGGTGTGTGTGTGTGTGTGTGTGTACGTACGCACATGCACGCATGCTTTTGCCTTTGTTGAACAGCAATAACCTTTTTCAAAAGTGTAAAAACTTTGCACTTAAACTTCCAGGCTGCCAAGACCCCATAATGAAACACAAGAAGAAGTGTATCGAGGAAGGTAAATAAATGGAGTGCTTTGCTTTTGTTATTTAAAGATGCTCATAACTTGAGACAGTTTTACCCATCCACCTTTTTTTTTTTTTTCCTTTCTGTACTGGCAATCTAACTCAGAGGCTTCCCACTGAGCTACTTTTCTAGCCTGTTTTATTTTTTAAAAAATTTGATTCAGGATTTTACTCGGTTGCCCAGGCTGGGCTCAAACTTGCCATCCCCCACCTCAGCCTCCCAGAGTACTGGGGTTACAGGCATGCGCCCAACACCCAGCTCTGTCCATCCTTTGAGAGATGATCCTGACCATCACTTTGCTTACTGACAAGCAGCCCTGTCCAGTGAAGGATACACTCTAGTAAGTTAATGCAATGGAGCTGCAGATAACTACCCTCAGCCTCCTTGGTTAAACTATTACACTAACATTTCATCTCATCCCACTTGTGGTGGTGCCATGCAAAGGCCTTCCCTGATTATGGGAGTTCTGTGAACCCTTCTGCCTGCTCACCAATACCACCGGTCTCTGGTTCTGGAGGCAGTAGGAATCTTTGGATTAGCAAGCATTCAGGGGTGTGGTGGGGAGTAGTCTAAATAATCATCTACAAGCATGTTCTCAAACCTGTGCCCTTAAAGAAAATCACCTCACCCATACTAGACTGTTGAAATCCTAACCCTTTGAACTGTGAAACAGACCATTTAAGATAATCAACCGAGTGCCCAAATTCCAAAGGGTTTTATACAAATTTGGGGGCAATATAAACTCAGGGTGCTAATGGGGTTAGTTGTATTTAGGGGATCAGTCCTGATCTTTTAGGGACCCTCTACCCTACAAGGCATCTCTATATACCGTTAGAGAGCTACACGTGCTGTTCTTACCAGAGGCAGACTGGGGGCACACAGCTTCCTCTCCTACCAAGAGAGGTCTGTAGGAGTTCGGAAGCACTGGGCAGAGAGGTTTGAAGGCCTGGACATCAGTCTGAGGGTGAGCCTGGGAAGATACTGCCAAGGCGGGGCTGAAATGCTCTCCTGTGTGGGGAGGATCATTTGTGCTGTTGTATGTTCTGTTCCTGGAAATGAACCTCATTCTTATTTGCAAGTCACATCCATGAAACAAAGGGCTTTTTCTGACAGAGTTGGCCTATCAGGGCATCCTCTAAAGTGTGAGGCATTTCCTTCCTCCTCTGTATTCGGCAAAGCTGGCAGAATGGGGAGATGGATGAAGTTCCTAGAATCCAGAATGTTCCAATGATTGTAGCTTTGCTCCTACATTCATTTCTAACAGTCTCAGACATGTCTCCTAACCTGTAGCTCCTTTTTACCTTCTGAGGAGAAAGTACTGGCTCCAGTCTTTAATTTAGATTACAAGTTAAGAATAGAAGTACTAGAATCTGATCTGTCTCCAACCACCATCAGCGCCCTGGAAGCTATTTTTAGCAAAGCAGTGGCAATGGGGGACGGGTGTCTCTATACTTCCTTGCCTGAGAACTTTTTAGGAAAGCCCTCTGGGGGACTTAAATGTCAGAAAAGTTATCAAGTTCATCCATATGGTTCTCCCTTAACTCACAGGAAGCCTGTGGGATCCCCACATCACTGCTTGTAAGAAGGATGAGGAGACTGTTGAAGTGAATTTTACAACCAGTCCCCTTGGAAACAGATACTTGGTTGTCATCCAGTACGGCGTTGTACTTGGTTTTTCTAACGTGCAGGAGGTACTGTTGGCTTCATTCCCTTATCTTTAACCTTTAACTTCCTAACTTGGTGGAAGGAGAAAGTGCACACTTGAGGGTTCTCTGACAGGCTCTCCTGAGAGCACCGTACTGTGTCGGGCCAAATGTACAGGGCTATTTGGATCAACTCAACAGACAGCAAGTTTCGGTGGGCATCCTAGGCTATATCATGATGAATCTAGAGTCAACTGAAAATAAAAATTTCAGAAGTATAAAAAGAATCTTTATTCTCATAGTCTGATGAACTGCAAGTCTGTTTGCAAGGAGGAGCTCTTCCATTAGTAGTTACTTATATGACTTGTAATTCATGATTCTGTTTCACTCATCCATAGAACAGGCCAACAAGAACTTCTGTAGTCGTTCAGGTGAAGGGACAAACTGAAGGTGCTACGGTTCAGGTACGTTGAACCAGGTACTTTGGGGAGGGGAAGGACACTGTTTCACCATTAAATGCTTCTGACGAGTCTTTTTAAGCCTGCATTAGTCCTCTCAAGTCTCCTTTTGGCAATAGTCCTGTATCATGCAGCATTATTTCTTGTGCTCTTTATGGTGGTGAGGTCAGGAAGCTTGCAGCCGTGGGAACTTCTGCTTATATTAGTGGCAACTGACTTTCCAAAGTGCTTTTATTTCCACTTTCTGTCACAGACCCTCACAGCAACTTGGAGGCAGAACTATTTTATTTCCCCAAGCCCACTTTTAACTGCAAAATGAAGTTGCAAAGACTTGAAGTTGAAAGGTTTGGGTTCCAGAGCAGTGTACAGAATTTGGAGAGCAACTGCCTGCCTATCCTCTCAGGGTGTGAGATGACCCAAGCAGAAATAAAGTTGGGGGCTGGCCAAGACAGCGCAGCAGACTAAGCGCCTAACCAGGGTTCCATCTCTGTCCCACATGCCTCACTCCTGCGCCCGGGTGTGCTGAGCTGGAGACCGAGTCTGGGCGTGGTGGCACACACCTGTAATCCCAGTGCTGGAAAGGCTGAAAATGGGAGGATCACTATGAGTCCAAACTGTGTAGTGAGACCCTGTACCAAATACATAAATGAACCAAAAAAAAAAAAAAAAAAAAATTGGACCAGTAGACGTTCCCAGGTGTCCTGCCACTGTTGTTTCCAGTGTGGGGACAAAGAGGAACTCAGTGGGACTCAGCCACACCACAGTGAGGAGCTTTTCTTTTTCCTTCCTAGAACACAAAGGTCCAAGGCAGCAGACCCTGAATACACATTATCCCTGTCTTTTCCGGGGAACCACAGACTCCTAGTGCAAGGGACGTGCCTGTCATAAAGCCCTGACTGGCGTCAATAGGAGCCCTACAGTTCTATGTCCTAGCGGACATATTTGCATGTGTATTAGGATGTAACCCATCTTCTAGATAAGCAAGCCAGCATATCAGAAACACAGAGGTGAGGCTCACAATCCCGGAGTCTTGGGCGGTGTTCTGGTCTTGGATCACTGGGTTGGCTGTTAGGGGCTTTGTCACACAAGTGTGGGCAAAGGGAAGTACCCCGAAAGTGCCTGGGAGAGGTTGTGGTGCAACAGGAATGCTGCTGAGATTCTGTCTGAAGCACAGTGTGAAATTCTGAGCCTCTCATTTTTCCTCAGTTGATTCCGTATTTCCAGTCATGCGGCAATGACTGCATCCGACGGAGAGGAACTGTTGAGCTTTGCCTACAGACGGATTCATTAAGTAAGTGCCTTCATTATCACTGGATGATCAGAGAGGTTAGGAACATGATGCACCTGTCACTGCCCCCATCTGGTATGTGACAGGGCACGTGTCTACACAGTGAGGGCTGCCTGCTATGTACACTGAATTAGTGTGCACAGAAAGATGCCAGGGCCGGCCCAAAGCGCCTATAACCTAGGAACAAAATCTTTATTTACAGAACCACTGCCAATCCTTTGTGAAAGTAGGATATGGGTAGACAGGAAAAATTAAACAATACTGAATAGACAATGAAAGCACCCCTAAGGGCTGGCCAAATAGCACAGTGGATTAAAGCACTTGCTTAGGATGACACAGCAGCTGGCTTCGATTCCTGGCGTGTTGTACCGGCCCGCCCCCTGGGCACGTTGAGAAGGTGACTGAGACTGGGCATGGTGGTGCACGCCTATAATCCCAGCTCTTGGGAGGCTGAATACAGGTGGATCACTACGAGTCCGATCTACATAGTGAGACCGTGTAGACCCTTACTAAAATACAAAAAAAAAAAAAAAAGAAAGAAAAAAGCAAGCAAGCACTCCTAGGAGCCCCTGAGCAGTTAGTGGACTGAGTGGCAGAGGGAGCATGTTCTCTACTGCATTTTGATCATCAGCAGCACCAGCCTGGCTGTTACATGTGGGCATATGCCAACAGCTGGGTAGTAATAAATCAGGAATACTGGCACCAAAAGACACTCCACTGCTACCTGAGAGTGGCATGTTCCAGAAAACATCACTGGATTTGGAGGTGTGTCCTCTTATATTCACGATGGAGAAATGTTTCTAGAACTAGCCTATGGTTAGGGGTCAAAGATGGAAGGTATTATTCTTAAGAATCTCAGCTAGATGGTCGTGGTGGCGCACACCTGTAATCGGAGCACTGGGGAAGCTGAGGCAGGAGGATCACTGAATTTGATGCCAGCTTGGACTACACAGTGAGTTCAAGGCCAGCCTGAACTACATAGTGAAGCCCTGTCTCAAAAAAAAAAAAAAAGATCCTGGCAAGTGCAAGGTCCCGAGTTCAATCCCCAGTACAAAAAAGCCATCTACGTGTACTATGTATACGAGAAAATGCACCCAGAATAATAGCAATTCCTCAAAGAACCAAGAATGAAAAGCCAAATGTAACAGGGAAAACGCTCATTAAGGAGTAAGAAACCCAGGAGATCTTGCCAGATAACTCGCCAGGTCCCTCTCCTGTTGAGAACCAAGTAAGAGATCTAGACACTACAGAAAACAAACTCCATAAAGGGATCTAAACTTCTATGGAACACAGAATAAAAATCTTAATTTTCAAATAGGTAGGTTTCAGGAAAAAAAAAAGATGAGTCAGGAGGATTGCTACAAGTTTGATGCCAACCCGGGTTACATAACAAGACTGTCTCAAAAAACAGAAACAAAAGAAAACAAATAGATAAATATGGTTTTGCTCTGCTGACCTGAACACCCTGCATGCTTTTTTCAGACACAGGCATGGTGGCAGCCTGGCTAGGCCTCATGTTCGTCATGGTCCTTGTATGGGTGCTGATAGGCTGGCTTTGTGGAACATGGAGATGTGGTAAGGAGTACATACCATTTTAAAGATATTCTAATAAGGGCACAAACACTGAAGCTGGAACTGAGGGTCTCGTGCATGTTGGGCAAGTGCTTTACCAGGGACATACCTCCACCTCTCTATTTTGAGCAATTTAAAAGGACTGTCCCTTCCTCTAGGGACAGTCGGGTGCTGGCATTTCCCAGAATTAAGACAGCATTTACTTGTGCCTTACCATGCTGCTACGAAGGCTGGTACGGTGTACCTGTGTCACATCTGCCAGCTTAAAGCAGGGTGAGGCCCTAGGGGTCTGGGACTACCTACCATTGGTTTTATTTTTATTATGGAGGGTTCTACAGGTATGAAATAGGCCAATGATGGCTAATAATGTTTCACTTATGATACTCTGTTCTTTTTTAATAGTTCCAAGACCTGAGAACAATATTCACTTTAAGTTTATATACTCTGAAAGGTCACTGCCAACTACAGCTTTGGGTATCAGAATACAGAAATTAGGGTACTTCACAAAGCATATGGGGTAGTCCTGACCCCAAAAATACGAAGGGCTGAGCCTGAAGCTCAGGGCGAAGACCCTGGGCTCAGTTCCCAACACATTTGCACCCCCAATAAAGCAATAAAGACAAAAATCAGAGTTTATCTGTAGCTAGTGGTGGATCCATTAAAGACCCTGCCTTTCCTCCAGGAAAGAACCAAGAAAAGGAGATATGGATGTGCCCTGAGGACTGCACGGGATGTTGTAGACCCAGAGTAACTGCTGTTTCTAAGCCAAGAAAACCATGTGATCTTTTTACCCCAGCAACAGTTATATATTTAGGGATGTTTGGACTGCATTAGTTTCATGCAGTACTCCTGTTTTGTAGCACAGTGCAAACAGAATTAGTTAAGTTCCACGGGCTTAACTTGATGGAACTGTGAAGAAACTCTACCACCTGCAGGTAGGAGACACGTAAACAACCATGAGGCTGACCAAACCCGAGGGCACTGTGCAGAGGTCAGACACCCTTTAGCTAGCGCTACAAGTAAAGATGTGACTGCCTGTCTCCAAGTACCTTCAACTAAGCAGTTTCTTTGACTTTATTTGAAAAGATAAAGCATGACTGAAAGGACTGATTTAGTAAAAGGGACTTAATAGCTTTTTTTTTTTTTTTGCAGTAGTGGAGAGTGAACCCAGGATCTCATATATTTTAGGCAAGCGCTCTACCACTGAGCTATCCCCAGCTTGTTAAAACCTTTTTAAAGTTTAGGCATCACTGTTCCAGGTGCCATGTCCAAAAAGAGTCCCAGGGTTATCCTCCCTGTCTCGAGGTCTCTGATGCGCCTCTGTCGTTCTCTAGGATCATTTATCAGCGATGGTTTGAATTAAAAGGGAATCTGCATGTAGTAACAAACGCTTTTCTCATCCCCACAGACAGGGGCCAGAAAGCTTTCCCTCCTGCCACCACGCTACCGCCCCTCATTAAGGTTCTTGTGGTTTCCTCCCCCGAAGTATGTTTCTACCACACTGTCTGTTACTTCATTGAATTTCTTCAAAAGCACTGCAGAAGTGAGGTCATCCTTGCCCAGTGGCAGAAAAAGAAGATAGCGGAGATGGGCCCAGTGCAGTGGCTTACGGCTCAGAAGAAAGCAGCAGACAAAGTGATCTTCCTTCTTTCCAATGTTGGCAGTGCCGCGTGTGATGAGAGCTGTGGCCAGGGCAAGGGCAGCCCCAGGGAGAGCTCGCAAGACCTGTTCCCTCTAGCCTTTAACCTTTTCTGCAGTGACCTGAGCAGCCAGACCCATCTGCACAAGTACATAGTGGTCTACTTCAGAGGCGTGGACCCCAAGGATGACTACAGCGCTCTCCACATCTGCCCCAAGTACCACCTTATGAGGGAAGCCACTGCGCTCTGCACTGCGCTTCTCTGCGTCACGCCGCGCACGTCGGTGGAGAAGCAGTCATGAGCAGGCCACGGCGCGGCTCCCTCTTGCGCCCTAGCCACGAGAAGGGGGAGGATTCAAAGTTCTCTAAATGTCTCAGCCAACAGTTCCTGGGGAAAAACCTGTGTGAAAACCCTGAAGTTTTACCCTATCGGCTGCTTATAGGGAAGATCATAACTGCACACAAATGCCTAAGGCTACTCGTTAAAATTGTTCTGCTATAAAATCGTTACCGACAAGATGGGCGTGACAGAGCGCGCTGGTAATCCCAGCACGTGGGAAGCTGAGGCAGGAGGATCACCATGAGTTCTAGGCCCACCTGGGCTACATGGTTAAAGGCCAGCCTGGAATATGCAGCAAGACTCGGACTCAAACGAGAAAATGATTGTTACAAACATTACTAACTACTGGAACAATATCAAACAACTGAAAAGAAGTTTGTTTTAAAAAATATAATGTGTATTTTAACTTTTACCAAATCCAAAATATGTAGTCTGTTTACAGATAATTTATCACTGGTATTTTTATGTTTGAATTCAACATGTTGCTATGTGTTTGCTGTTGGCCCCACCTGTTACACTTTGTTCTTATTACCTGCTTTGCAATTAAAAGTTTTTCACTTACTCGGATTTCCTACTTATCATAAATAAGTTAACCTTCTTTTGTTTCGGTGATTACCTCAAGAATCATAGTATTCTTGTTTTAATGTCTAATGTAAATGATATTTTGCTCATTTCTAGCATTGATTTCAGGGTGCTTCAATTCTGTTTACCAGATTGAGGCTTTTTTGTGATTATGGTCAAGTATTTAAAAACACATATTTTAAACCTGACATTGTATTACCATTATTGCTTGAAACTACCCATACTTATTTATTTACATGTTTGCTCTTTGTGGTAGATATTTTTTCCTACTTACTTTCCAGCATTTCTGTCTAGGATCATTTTCTCAGGAAACCTCATTACATCTTTTAGTATAAAACTAAGTTTATAGTTAAAAGCTAAACTGATTTTATATCTAAAATTCAAAACTGTTACAATTGAAGAGTTATCATTGAGATAAGGTAGCAACACTCTCTTCGGCCAGATGTCCAGGCTTCAGTAGTCTCTGCTGTGCACGCAGTTGTTTAGCTCTGTAACATTCTAAGCTCAATGATAACTAAATTTAGGAACTTCTCACTATTTCACTTAGCTTCCTGGGAAAAAACCTCTATTAATGTTTAATATAGGAAAAAAAAAAGATAGTAATGGAGGGGAATTAATTTGGTTATGGCAGTACACGCCTGTAATTCCAGCACTCTGGGCGACCTAAGCAGGCGGATGGCAAGTTCGAGTCCAGCCTGAACAACTTAGCAAGAACTGTCTCAAACAGCTAAAAAAGGGGGTGGGGATATACCCGCTTCAGCGAAGGCCCTAGGTTCATTCCCTAGAAGCACAAAAAGACGGGGTAGTTGTGGTGGAGGTGGGGCAGGGAGTTATAAGCTGGACATATTTTAGTTGACTAGATGACCTGATCTACATGTAAACACTGTATAGTTTGGTATTTGCATATGACCTTCTTGCTCCAAATTAGATTCATGTCTTGACTTTTTTTTTGGAACCAGGGATTGAACTCAGGCCCTTGCGCTTGCCAGCAAAGCGCTTATTCCACTGAGCCATCTCCCCGGCCCCAGTCTTGACTTTTTATAAGTGACCTTTTCATGAAACCAAAATACATTCCTACAAACCCAATGTCTACTTTTCGTCCAGTTACCTATTGGAAGTTACCATCAGAGTTCTCAGTTACTACATAATTCATTCATGTTAAACACTAAGTTGAAAGTTGGTTTTCTTCAAAGAAACTTTTTTAGAAGTAATACTGATTGACTTTAATAAAAAAAAACTACCAGAGTGACAATGTAGAGAGGTATGATCCTGATAGAGGAGAAATACAACTCCCAGCTTGCTGTCAGATGTGTGAGTTCTTGTCCTCTCAGAATTCCAAGGAACAACAAACATGAAGAATAGGAAAGATCTGGGCCAGGTGGGGTGGCACACACCTGCAATCCTAGCACTCAGGAGGCTGAGGCAGGAGAATCATTGCCAATGCAAAGGCATTTTTCTAAGTGTTTTATAGGGCAAAATCATGTGATGGGTACAAAATCTTGAGGTGCACACAACAAAGACCAAACTATGATCAATAAGATTACAAGGGTAGCGCCAGGGAGATAGCTCAGTAGAATAAGCGCGACCCTGGCAAGCGCAAGGGCCTGAGTTCAATCCTGATTCCACAGAAAAAAAAAAAAGATTACAAGGGTAGCCACTTAGCTGATATTGCTCCAGTAGGGAAGCAGGGCGTGTGGTGAGATACGGCATCAGTAACCCTGGCTTATCTATGAGTGCTAGAACAGGAACATTGTGGAGAAGGGCCCAGGTATTCTGGCCGCCCATCCAGGTATGTGAAGCATATCTGAGTTTAATGGGTTGAGTGGTATCAGTATAACCTCAAGTTTCCATTCATTTTATAGGAAAATATGTAAATGTGGCCACTGTGATTTTAATCTCAAGGCCATGCCTTCCTCATCTGTGCCTCTTGCCACAGTAGTGGTTTTTTCCCTTTCACTGACTTCCTTAAGAGCTGGTTCTGCTCTGACTAGATAGTTTTGAAATGCACTTTATTGGTACATCCTTGATACACACAGTGATTACACTCACCATAAGCGATCTGCAGCAGTACCTACTGTATCTTCACTCCTCTTTCTCCACCTTCCCTCTTCTCCTTGCAGCCATTCTCATTTACAAAAGCTGTTTTTCCAGTTTTTCTTGCTGCTCTTTTTTTCCTTTTCCTTTCCTTTCCTTCTCTCTCTTTCCTCACTCCCTACTGAACAATTTTTTCCTACTTCCCATTATCTACCATCCATTCTGGTTCACTTATCCATTTTGGCTTCTCACATGAGCAGCAGTGTGGTATTTAAACATGTGTGTCCCATTTCTTCCTTTTTTAAAAAAACTCTATGCATTTATTTGGTACAGGGTCTTGCAAAGCAGCTCAGACTCACAGAGATCCTCCGTCTCAGCCTCCCCAGAGCTGGGATTTAAGGCGTGCACCACCATGCCCGGTTTCGCTGGCTGGCATGGAGTACCCAGGGTTCAGGGCCTGCACGGGACGCAGTGCCAGGGATCACACCAGGTCCTTGTGTTTGCCAGGCAGGTGCTTAGGTTGCCAAGCTATCCCCTAGCCCAATTTCTGACTGTACTATTTTTATCTAACTTAGTTGACCACAATACCGTAGTGCCTTGCTTTACAAATTTAGTTCTACTTTCCTAAAAGCATCTTCTTCTTATACAGATTAGACACACTAAAAAACATTGCAAATTAGCCTTTCAAGGTTGTGTCATTGCAAATATTTGTCTTACAGATAAAACAAAAATCCAAACGACGAATAAAGTCAGAAGCCACCACAGCCAGCTTTGTGAGCAGACAGAGTAACGGCTGAGGTGGGACGCCGCAAGGCTCACGCAGTTACCATGACGGTTTTCACTGCGCTGGTAAAAGTGCTGACTATGCAGATGGCCTAGGTCACAACTGGGACCACACATCGACTTGCTGTGAATCGAATGTCTACCTTTCTTCTTCCTCACTTGCTCCCCCAACTCTTTTTCGGCAGCACTCAAGATTGAACCTAAGGCCTCTGCACTAAGTTACATACCTAGACCTTTTAATCTTTGAGACAGGGTCCCCCTAAGTTGCCCAGGGTAAGATCCAAACTTCTGAGCCTCCTGCTTCAGCCTCCCAAACCATTTCTATTTGGCTTTAGGAAGGAAACAAGATTTTCCTTTCAGCTGTGTTTGTTTTAGTCAAGTAATAATTTCCTTTACTTAAGCTACCCTAGAACAAGTTGGGTAACAAAAGTTAGTTAGCCAGCCTGGCCTTCAATCTTTGCCTCTGGAAATCTACACCTACATGAGGCCCAATCGTTTTTGCACTCCAGCAGGAAACAAAACAGCAGAACCCAGTTGACCACCACAAGTGGTACCCTGTTGGAATTCCAAGAGGATGCATAGGGCACGCTGGGTGTGCACAGAATTCGGCACCTGTAGTACCCTAGACAAGAGGGAGCATGGCTGGTCAGCCAGACCTCACAAGTCACACAAACCTGCGAGGCCTGCGGGTGAGGCTCGGGTGCCCACCTGGGCTCCCCTGAGACAGGAAAGCAAAGCACGACAGGTACAAGGGTAACAAGGCAACGTTTAACATTAAAGTTTTCTTTTAATAAAAATTGCAGCTTCTGGACAAACCAGTCCAAAATTCCTAAAGTCACAAATAAGCTGAACAACCCTCTTCTACTCACAAACCGGCCTTCTCCACCTCTGAAGAGACCTTCCCTTTACATCTGGGCAATGAGCCTTTCCCTTGTAGGTGGGCTAGGGCTGCACTGCCAGTAACGAATGGGGCATCATGCTATGCTTGGCTGTAAAATGCATCTCCTTTTTGCACAGATTCTCAAGTTCTAGAATTTTTATCTCTAAGTCCCCCATAAACATACAAAGCTCAAGCCATAGGGTGCCTTCTCCCCCTAGAGCGCCTGCCCTCGATTTCTTTGAGTGTACATTTTAAAAATTCTGCCCAGTGAATCTCTTTATGCCTCTAACTGATGTATCCTTGAGCTGCCTCTGGAGGCTACCTACCTAGAATCTTCAGGTCCTCTGTTCGATTCCCAGTACCAAAAAATACCCAACAAACACAAACCCAAAATTCTTCTGGATGGCAGTCAACACACTGACACCCTGCCCTGTGGTGGCATGAGTCAAAGGTCCCAACTTTACATGGGGGACCTCTCTGGACTCTGTCCAGGGACACTCACCATATCAGGTCATTTGACAGCAATATTTGACATCACTGGACAGTTTATAAATCTTCAGGAGACAGCAGAATTTACAACTAAAGAGTAAGTTCCTATTTATCCTGAAATGTCCCAACTATGAAAATGATTATAATTTCAAACCAAGGTCATATCCTCAACATAAAATGCAAAGTCTTTCCATGAATTTTCCATGAAAATTAAGCATGTGATTCAATAAATTAAAATATGTACAACCTTTAATCCTGTGTATCAAGAGACTCGTTTTTGGTCTTCTAGTGGCTCTACCCTTCCATTTCACCACACGAAAGCAGCGCGCTCTCGTAACATGCGGACACCAAAGCGCTGCCATTCTCGCTGATAAATCCACAGTTCCTGTGTCGTATCCAAACACGCCAATACTGCCCCTCCTTTCCATGCAATCAGCCGGGGATCCATGTCC